GGAACAAGTCTTTAAGCCAACAAATCTATCAAGTTCCATTATTCTGATGACACAATATTACTGCAAATATTTTCCCGATATATAGATTGGAAGTGAATCCTTCCTTCTTTGATGTAACAATGCAACAGTGAGCAGTTTGTCAAAATATGTCCAAGTGTTTGCACTTAAAGCTTTCTGTTTAAAGGCATTACAGTCTGGTTTACAACCAATCTGCAGAGAACATGGGCATGGCTAATTTATTATTTATTTTAATGGTACAATACTGATTCAAAAAGAAGTGCATTTTGCTTGACTGCTCTTCTCTTTTGTTGTTGCCAAAATCCAGGAGCAAAAATGTTTGCGTGTCTCCGAGTTGCAATTCACCATCGAAAATTGGAAAATTGCTCCTATCTCTGTATTGTGCCATTGAGGCAAATTGATGAAAGTGTCCATACTTACACAGAATGTAGAAAGGTGCAGTACAGGAGCAGGTGCTTCAGCCCACCACGTCTGCTCCCGACCATTCTACACTAATACGATCTGCCTATACATGGTCTATATCCCTCCATTCCCTGTCTGCTCATGTCTCTGTCTAAATGTCTCTTCAATGTTGCTATTGTATCTGCTTCCACCCCTGGCAGCATGTTCCTAGCACCTACTACCCTTGTATAAAAACCTTGCCTCGCACCTCCTTTAAATGTTTCCCCTCTCACCTTAAACCTATGCTCCTCGTAGTAATAACTATTACTATCCTTCGAAAAAAGACTCAGACGATCCAACCTATCCATGCCTCTCATAGTTTTCTATATTTCCCCCTCAGCCTCTGACATTCTTGCAAAAACAATCCAAGCTTGTCCAACCTCTCCTCATAGTTAATGCACTCCAATCCAGGCAACATCCTGGTAAACCTCTTTTGCACCCTCTCCAAACTTCCACATCCTTCGAATACAACAATACACATATTCCAAATGTGGTCAAAATTAAGTCTGATAAAATTTTATACTTTCTTAACCTAAAGTTCTACCTCTGTATTGAGAATGCTTTCAAATGAAAACAAAAGCTTGCGAACAGCAATAATTTTTCAAAAAAATTAAACTGGTGGAGTTTGTGTATACGATAAGCAAATGTGCGTTTTAGAAATTGTTTGATACTGTTGCAAAGTTGGTTTGAGAGCTTGTGGATTGGGAGGCAGGAAGTTAGAATTTGGTTGTAAAATGCTGGCTGGTGGGTGAAGCATTGCATGGTACCTTTAAAATATGATATGATTTTTCTCTGCTTAAAAACTTAAAATAGATGTTTGTGAGCAGCAGCTGAACGTTTGTAAATACACAGAGGGCACCCAAATTAATACATTTGTGTCAAAAGGCTCTACAGTTAACGGGCCAATCAGCAGCTTTTTACCAAGACAACAAACTTTTGAATTTAGCTAATCAATTTGAACCAGACACTTAGATGCCAAAAACCAACTACATTTAAATCTGATGGTTTTGACAACATAGGACTAATCCTATTGTAAGAAATTGATAT